TACAGTGAGGAATGAATGGGTGTCTTCAGTGTGGCCATGGTCGGATATGAGTCGTCATCGAAATTCTTAGGTGAACCTGGCTCTGAATAAACATGGTTGAATTCTTTCTGAGCTGCACTAAGTGGCGAACTTGAAACCTGAATAATGAAGATGCGGCAGGAGGGAACAACGAACGGACCAAAAAAATGTCGTTCGTCTGACCGCTGCATGCTCTACCCGGGAATCGAACCCGAACCCCAATCCGAACCCTTCGGTGAGGGTTGGATATGCCGCGACCAAAGGCAGGAGAGCTGGAGACCCATCCATTGTGTGTAAGCTGTAGGACTCGGAATCTCGGATGCCAGTATGCATAGTATCTGTATGGTTGAACTCAGGCTGATAATATCAAAGGTGGTTGAACCACCCCACCGACCCGTAAATCATCTATCCTGCGCCCGCCCAGTGCAGATCGCAAGGTTCAGCAGCAGGTCAAATTGAACCCAGCAGCTGGATATCATCGAACTCAACCAATTGAACGGACACGCAAAACAGGTATTACCCAAGGCGTATATCCTCCCAGGGAATCGAACCCTCGCAACTCGCCTCCCTCGAGTGCATATGCGTAACTCGGAGGACGATCTGACGCCGAGTCGGCAGGCCTTGGACAGTGAGGAATTAATAGCTGTGTTCGACGCGGCCGGATGCAGACAAATTCTTGGTTGAACCTGGCCCTGGATAAACGTGGTTGAATTCTTTCTGCACGCACCAAGCGGCGGAGAGGCGAACTGGAAACCTGAATAACGAAGATGGAGGCGGAAGAAGAAGACCATGAGCAAAAAAAGGTACATTCCTCAGGCCTCCACAGCATGCTCTGCTCGGGAATCGAACCCGAACCCGAACTCTCTGTTGAAGGTTGGATGTGCCGCGACCAGGGGCAGCAGAGCTGGAGTTACAGTAGGTAGCCCTGTGGTGAGGCTATATGCATACTTGTATGGTTGAACTTTGAACTGCAAAGGTCGTTGAACCCCACCTCCCCACCTGTACATAATCCATCCTCAAGCACTGGCAGGCCAAACCCAGCGGCTGAATAGCATTCAAGTCAAACAAAACAGACAAGCAAAACGTATGGTGCAAGGCGTATTATGTTCTTCCAGGGATTCGAACCCTAGTTAACTTGAATCACCTTGAGTGATACTTGCCTCAAGGTGAAAAGGAAACTTCAGATGCTCGCCACGATTCCCAGAGCTCTGTCTGAGATAGAAATTGCCCGCCCTATAGACTGACTTGCCGGCGTTATTGGTTGAACCTCAGAGATCTAGAGTCGGATCAAACATGGTACATAGAGTTTTGAACCTGCGCCCGACGCCCGTTAGAGTGCCTAGTATTCAGTGAGACAACCATCATGCCTAAGCTTAACGGCGCGCACAGGAAACGCGGTACACCGCGGAATTGACGCTACAAAAAAAAAACTTCACCATTTCCCCATTCTCTGGGATTCGGCCCAATGCGATGGATTCACCCATCAATTGATTAGGGTCGTTGGGCTTCTCACCGCGGCTCAGCGGACACCTACTTGTGTTGGATTGGAAGCAAGGACCTCAGACCCATCCTCTACCGGGTGGGTGTCGGCGTGTCAGTTAAATTTGTTCATTTCAACCAAGAACCACCAAGGGGATTCTTGGTTGAATCTCCAATCGTGGCTGGAAACTTGAACCATCCACTCACTCATCTCTATTCTATGGTGATGAACCTCGTCCAAAAAGGTGGGCGAAAATTCCAATCGGCCGACCTATACTCTGCGAGGGAATCGAACCCCCCTCCCCAGTCATCTCTAGCCATCTCTAGCCATTGACTTGGGTAGTCACCAGAGTCGTGCGTCCTCACGCAGACCTCGACTCGGACTGGGCTCCTACAACTGAAATAAATTCACTGAAGGAGCGCCAAACCAAACAAAAAGTATCAATTACGCAGACCACAGCCAATACTCTGCGGGGAATTGAACCCCGTGCCAGCGGATCCGCATCTCGGAGAAGAAGCAGAGGTGGGTCAGGTTGACCGCCTTATACAGTACAGGTGTGGTTGAATATATTCCGTTCAACTTGGTGACCCAAGAATCATGATTTGGAAGGTAAGAATCATCAGAGCATGGAACTCCCCTGGCAAGTGCCGCATAAAAAAGTGTATTCAGTTACTGCGTACGCTCTGTGGGAATCGAACGCCCGCTAATCGCCTCGAGCGACTTCTTGCCGTATGTAGAATTGATTGCTTGGTCCTCGCGCCGACCTGGGTTGGTTTAGGTTTGGTTTGGGATGCAAAAGCAGTGGGTGTCTCATAAGAAAAGTATAGAAAAGTATAAGTACAGTGAGTCGGTCCAATTAAGTCATGTAGAGACAGTCTGTCCAAATTTCTGTTGACCTCCGATCGGTGATCAAGCGTGGTTGAATTTTGAGGAGAAAAAAAATGATCACCTGAACATGCATGCTCCGCGCAGAACCGAAAACCCAGTTGTCAATCCCTCCTTCGGTGTCCCGTCAACTTCCAAGCCGTCATCAGAGTCGATGCCGCGTCGACAACAACAGCAGGTGGACTTAGTTTACACCAAAAATATTCCATCGCATATGATATAGGCTCTGCGTCAATCGAACCCGCACCAACTGATCCTTGCCTCAGAGGAGCCTTGTTGGCTGCCGACGACTCTCCGCAGAGCCCTGCCTGAAAATGAGGACATTGGCCACCTCGTACACTGGATTTATCATTATTTGGTTCAAGTTGAACCAATAAACCAAGAGTCGTGGTTCAACTTGATTTGGAAGCCCAGTATCGTTAGAAGTCAGAACTGAGAGCATGGAACTACAAAAACTCAATGCAATATTGCTTATGCTCTGTGGGGAATTGAACCCCTGCACAGAATCCTTGCTTTTAAGCAGAGCTGGACACGGCCGACAACAGTAGTCTGCAGAGTTGTAGGCTGTGGTTCACGGGAGTGAGAGCCTAAGGCATTTCGATGATTGGTTGGATTTCGCTCGTGGTTGAATTTCAACAGTCCTGCCTAGCCCCAAACCTCAAAAAATATTGGACTTCTTTAACATATGCTCTGCGGGGAAACGAACCCCCGTGCACCCAATCCAAGTTGCCTCACAGGACAGGACAAGTGTTTGGCTTCAGCACAGAGTTAGTGGAGCCTGCCGCATGATCGTCTTATGCGAGTTGCATTTATTTAGTTCAACCAAAAATGAACTTCACCCTGACCGTAGTGATTGGGGCTCAGTCGCCGGAGTGTACATCCCTGGCACGTAAAAGTACTAGTCAATTCCGAACGAGAACATTGTCACTCGACGGGGTAAAAAGAATGCAATGGCACCGCATAATGCTCTGCCCGGGAATCGAACCCGACTGGCCAACCCGTGCCTCAGAGAAGAAGTTAAACACAACGGCGGAACGAGTCTGAATGAATGCCCTTCATCGGCGGAGGATCAGCTGAAACACACCGCTCAAAGTCGAACAAGGCGTGCCCCGTCTCCTAAATCCTCCCCTGAGTCGAAGGCGGCAAAACTCAACACCGGTCGAGATATCCAGACTGCATTGATGTTGACCCACTCCACTACAAACACCCGTCCAAGAATGGAATAAAGAAGCGTGGGTAAGCAATGCCGAACATTCAACGGAACTCACCTCGATGTATGCGCATCGTCAATACATATCGAAGCAGCCTCAAACACCGCTCCAAAGGAATCTCCTACTTACCCTTTTAGATAACGCCGAGTATTGAACTCTCTCGTAAATACATTATTCAGAAACCGACGTGAGCAACATTCGAGCTGCCTACCGGACCACAAACAGTCAGCCAAAAATGGAAGAAGGACAATCCCGTCTGCACACGTGTATAGCCCCGAGAATGAACAAAGACGCTGGTAGTGCCGAAAGGAGGCGAACATCGGGTGTGTTTGAATGCCGACGCTGACATTGTTGTATTTTCGAACCGTGACAAGAAAAGGAAGCAGTATCGGCGCCGAGCAAGCATGCATCCCGCCAAGAACCGAATTTGGGGTTGTAAGCACACACATGTGTGATCGGACCCACTCTGCCCATTATTTATCATTCGGATGACCATTTGAACTTCGAAGGGAAGTTCAACAGACACCGGCTCAGTTGAACATCCATTAATTCACCCGAACGCACACTTCGCGTGTTATGTCTCCACTCGGCGAATGCATAATGCACATCCTACAGGTGACTCACCTCAACAGTCCTCGCCCCTTCTTCGAGTTCTCGTGTCACCCTTCAGATAGAGTTTCAAAACATGGATTGTCCTGGACTGATTTTCAAGTTTGCAATTGATTGCGATGCGCCGCTCGAGTTGGTTGAAACTTGAGTTCGAGAACATTCAACCAGTATGTGATTGAAGTGCATACATTGCACCCCGCAGTACCATGGCAAGCCCCCCCCGAATTCAGCATCACATCCGAGAGCCCCGAAAATTTTGGGTGCTCGGTGTTTAACGTTTGGGGATGCGGGGTTTATGCGGATCTCCTGCTTTTTGTATTGAGAGAAGCTGGAGCGAAGAGTCACGGAAGCAGGCAAAAACAACGCAGCCACATTGTACTGTATCTTCGGGATGGAACCATACTTAGAAGGTTGATGGCGCAAAAGACGTGCATGGAAAATTTCCGGTGTCCACCGTTTTTCAGCGGTCTTTGAGCGGATCAATTTACAATGCTATGATCAAACGGAGTTGGCTGCAAGGAGAGGCAGAGGGTCTGATAGTATACCACACATATTTCTGCACCGAACACGGCTCTCGGGGTATTCCCACGGTTGGGTTTTCCCCGATCACACCAAACTTAAAGCCAATTATAAAGCCAATCACGCGCAAATCGGACCGTGAACAAAGCAAGCTAGCACTCGCCACTCTCTTCACCCATTCCTCTCTGCTTGGACAAGTCCAACCCCCTTTCGGACTCAGTGCTTTTTCGCCGGCTAGCGGTCGGATAATAGATGATAAATGTGCTACCTCCAACACAGCATTAATGGGGTAGTGGTAACCTGGGTCGTTGCCAAAGAATTGTAATCTCAATTCGACCCGCCGGGGGTTCGATTCCCTCTTAATGCATTAGCCTCTCCGTGCTATGTTTTTGGTCGAACTTCGCGCGGTCCACTCCCACCAACAAATCAGACCCTCCCCCACACCCGGTTCTTCCTCTCGGCTTAATCTACATGTAATAGCTTGGAATACTGCTTTTATCAGGTTACCAGGTTGCAGGAAGCCAGACTTGGCAGGGTTAAGCTCCTGGGCTGGGGGAAATGATCAGTGCCGCTGCGCAACCTCACGATCGAAAACGTGGCAGGAAGATGAATAAGGTTTCTTAGCTTAAATCTGGATTTTGGCTTGAGATGAAACGGCAAAAATTTACAGCATGCTTCTATTTTTCGTGGCGAGAGCGGGATTTGTGAGAAAGTGTGCAGTAATTGTCCGCGTCTCTCAGAGGCAGCTTCGATCTCGCGTGGCTGGATTTGCAGGGTTGAGCTTGTACGTGAGGGCTTCGATTTTTCCACCATCGCTTATGCTCGAGGTGAGTTAGGTTCAGTTCCACTGAGAATTCTATGCCACGGCACACATCGATGAACCAAGTTCAACCACCGCCACTCGTGGTCAATACGCGAGAGTGTTTGGTGCAAGGCCGACTCCGCTCCGAAACCTCCTGCACCCCGATCGCCGGCCTCGAGTTTCGAGTGGCGCTAAATGTGATTCTTCCAGGCCACGGGTGCCGGACTCGGAGTCTTGCACAAGCTCAGACCTAGAGTTGAGTGGAGCAGAACCTAGAGGTTAAAGTTCAAGGTCCAATGAAAGACTCTCTTCTTGAACTTACACACAAACCGCACCAAACAACTCCCCGAGCAGCTGTTCCTTCAATGGTCGTTCTGCTAGGTATTGATATGGAGTTGCCTTCGATACAACGTGGTTCAGGTGCAATAGTTTTCCGTACCGGGCATATTCCCACGGTTGAAGTTGCGCTCGATATGCTTTGGCTCGACCATCTATAGATCCTCTGGTCTGGACCCAACCAGACTGGATTTCTCGGTAACCGAGGGAGATGTTACAACCATTTCCTAGGGCTCTGCGGCGAACGAAGATGTCATTTTCGGCGTAAATTTAACCCGAGGCCAATTCCACGGGGACGCCGTATAGACTGGTTTTCTCTCCTCGGAGTTGTTTTAGCTCTCTTGCTTTCGGGTTTGTGCCACAAGCACCCAAAGTGCATCGCGCCATAAGGGCGATCCCTCGCTGATCAACCAGTAAAGTCAACCTCGCCACCTGATTAAGACGCATTTGAAACGACATCTCCGCCACGGGGGCTGGCCCAGAGCGCTCCACGTGGCTAGCCTTCGCGTGATATCACCATACATGGGAGATCCGCGCATGACATTGAGCGCAGATAAGCAGAGGTGCGGGGCGGAGGTAGCCGCTAGTTGTTGTCCGGGAGACAGAGGACGACCGCTGCTCATAACCAAATTAACGCGTAATAGTTGGAGTGGCATGTCGTCCGTGCGTAGAACCGCGCACGCGAGGATATGTGCTACCGTTGTTTTCCGTTCCCGAGTTGGCCACGGCGTGAGCCGAGCGAGGACGACAGTCAGTAATAACTGCGTGAAAAAAAACCCCATCTAAGAAAGGCTCACCAGAAGGTAACGGACGAGGAACTTACTCTTCAAGTTCCTCAGAAACAGCTCGACCTGCCAGTCTGGGAACCGTAGTGCGAGATAATCCTAACTGCTATCGTTCCGTCTAATTTGCGGTACAGATTAAATCCGCTTCCCCATCCATCGGCCTGGACCATGCCAACACAGATTTGTGGTGCAGATTCCTTGGTGGATGTAACGCCAAGGAGCTCCACACTTGCGCTTCTCTGCAGTGAACAATAATTTGGCGCGCGCTACGAAACGTAAAGTGCGCCGTGTATCACCGCCGAGCGCAAGAGGGAGTCCAGAGCGCGCATCCAAAATGACGGGGCCAAGAACAGCCGAGGGGAACCGTTAGTATTGGTCGAGTACCATACCCGCACAATGGACTTCGACGAAGAAATCGCTGCATCAGGCTGGTACAGGGCATTTTCCAGCGGAGGTCCAAATGTATCCCAGCGGCACACGTACCTAAACGGAAGCGACTAACTGCTGAATTGGGTCCTGCGTGAGGTCCCTACTGGAATGGGCGAGTGTCGGCTCCCGGACAATAACTTGAAGTGCACCATTCAACCAGGGAAGGCAGCAAACCACGCTTGGCCAGACCTGTCAACGCACAGTCTTAGCCTCTGATGTTGCGTGGACAAAGAAAGACTGGAATTACAATCTTCGGACCGGAACCAAATCCGCGGATCCAAACATTCACCTGGACGAGCTCCGACGAGGTACACGGTCGATGTTGTTCCCTTGAACTGAGACTGAGCGCCACCTGAACGTACAAAACCCTGTGCGAGTATGATACTCCTTGTTGAGGTTTTGCGGCGCTGGAATAATCGAACCTATTCCAGTTCTCTAACACGTAAAGTTGGCGCACAAAATGTATTATGAGGTCCATGTGAGTTCACGCTTCTGAGAGTCGGCGGCGTTCAGGATTGCGGGTGAACAGGTCCAGTGGATCCACTGTACCTCTCCCTGCAGTCACACGGCGCTCGGAGTTGAATGCAGTCAGGGGATATTTGGATAAGGGGGCACAGCACCGCCGGAGATCCAGTAATCTGCGGGGAAGGTATTGTCGTCGAGGAAGGAATTGAATGGGGCGGCCTACAATCCATACGTCGGTTCAACAACTACAATGGTCCAGGCGCCGAATCTTGTCCCTTGTTGAACATCGCGAAGGAGTGAATATGTTGAATCTTTCGCCGCGCCGAGGGCAATTGGAGCGAGACAGGATGGTGTTGGAATACGCGCCAGGACAAATCAGAACGTGGAGGTCGAGCAGATGGAGCGTCACGATGTGAATCAGCGAGGGCATCGCGCGCCATGTTGAAACTTGTTCGCAAAGCCAGGAACATCAGACAAAGGCAGTCGGCGGAGGCTGGCCCTCCAATTGGAACGGAACAGAACACTTGTAAAATACGGTGCCACCGAAGGATCAGAAATTCGAGCATTACAATGTGCTCAAGGAGGTATGATGGAATGCTCACCAGCGAGGGCATCGCGCGTCATGTTGAAACTGCTTGTTTCGTCCTCGCCAAACAGGAACGTCTACCGGAACGCGCCGCCTGGCCGTCAAATAGTTAATCATGATTTGCGGATGGAAAGAGAACCGCTTCGTCCGCCAAAAGCGTATCGCGGAGACTTCAACGTCCTGAAGTCGGTGTTAACCAGCACCGCGACTTGGCCAATGTGAATTCCAGAAGCATGCAAAAGGACGCTGGCGGTCGGCGTGAAACGGCGGAGACCACTAATGGTTTGACGCAATGGCGGGACCATGCCTCGTCGTCAGCTTGAAACAAATTCATTCTGCGAACCGTCAGCGGCCAATACGAAGCAACGGTCCGTGTCGACATAGCGATGAGACAATGCCCTCCACGACAGCACAGTGCGCTAGTGTCAGAATGAAACCGCCAAAAGCGGTACATACATCGCCGCACAATCAACCGCCTGGGTCCAGATTCGGCGCGCGCGAATCTGACTGGGCCGGGGTAATTGTCATGATCTGCCACGAGCACATGGTCCAGTCCGAAGTGGAAAGGCCACGGAACCGAAGGTTGAGCAGTCTTCGACGATTCAATGCAACTGTGTTTCATTGTCAACTTTCAACCGTTGAATAGTGTCGGTGGACTGAAACCGAGAAGTTGGTTGAAGGACACTTACCTCCGACTCTTTCGAAAGAAAGATTAGCCAAGTCCGTCCCCTGTTCGGGTCAGACAGGTGTTTGCCGCTGGACAGGCTCGCTGGACGGATTACACGGTGGGTTGATCGGCGAGCGCGGTTCCCGACGGCGGAGACGATAAATTAATTACCATGACGCAGGTGGGTACATTCGTCCTCGGTGCCTGTGAAGTAATGAGCTGCCAGCGGTGACCAGGCACGGTGCGGGCTCTTCGTTATTCTTGCTGCAGCCAAAGTCAGTCGCGGGCACACTGGCATGGAAGGTGATCCGTTCCGTCGACGGCCTGCGTTCGTATCGGCTCCGTCGTTCCGGTGACGGAGAAGGAGGATTGGCATCGGAGTGGCCCAAACCGGGACGTCAATCAACACATAGATAGACGACGGCAACTTGCGCGAGCAGTAATCGGGTCCGTGGAAGCAAGACATCATCATCATGCACGAGGCAGATTTCGCGGAGGTAGAATGGGCTAGAGCGTGAACGATCGGCTGGGAGAAGCGGGGAGCGCGGTAGATAAACGATGTCTAGAACAAGGCAAGTAAGTCAGCACCCACATGGAAAGAGACGTCGGCTTGAGGGCATTACATACCTCGGGGAAGCCTTCATTTCCAGATTCTGTTCCGCTATCGACAGGCTACCTGGAAGGTTGATCATACAGCCCGAGATCCTTGTTCCGTTGTTGAGAAGTGACAGACACAGACTCACCCATGATTCTAGAACGAGAGCTCACTAAACTGCGAAGATGGACAGATGTCCATAATAATGCTGGTGTCGTTCTTGACACAGACTAGATACGTTTTCTGTCGAACGGATTCAATTCGACGAAGCCTGATGAGAATGCGAGGTTCAATACAAACCGGGTACAAGGGCAGCGGCCATCGGTCATCGTGGTTGGGTCGGCTATACTGGCTGGGAGGAAATTGAATTGTGCTGCTTCGGGAATAAGACACGAGGGGAGCAAAAGAGTACAAGCACACCCACTAGGATCCGGGATAATTGTGGCAGACCCGGAAGTGTGGGAGCTTGGCGTTCCGTGGAGGATAAGACTCGTTCCGGTGTGTCAGTGTCAGGATGCTTGAACACTTTTAGAGAGTTGACAGACAGCTAGAATGAAAGGTGATAATCAAATACAGAGACTGGAAATCAGACAGAGCAAGTTGGACGTACACATGTGCTGAATGCGGTGCGAGTTATGGGCGAGGGAACGGTCGGGATCAGGTCAGAAGGAACCATTCAACGATAGACGAGCCTGGGTGGAG